AGAGAGAGAGAGAGAGAGAGAGAGAGAGAGAGAGAGAGAGAGAGAGAGAGAGAGCAGGACAGCTCAATCGGGATCATTGTGGGGGGGGATAGCGGTAGTGGGATAGCCTCCGATAGTGGGATAGCAGGGCGGGATAGCGGCAGACGGCATAGACACACAGACACACACACACACACACACACACTCAGAGAGAGAGAGAGAGAGAGAGAGAGAGAGAGAGAGAGAGAGAGAGAGAGAGAGAGAGAGAGAGATGCCGGAGGGAGATGGGGGATGGAGAGGCGTGTTGGGTGCGTCGATTTCACATCACGTGACCTCTCTCTTCCCATGCCCGTATCCCCCACCCGTAGCCCGGTAGTACAACGAAGGGTATGGGCTGGGACCGGGGGTGAGGGATACCGGGACAGTCTATGGCGGCACGGAATGGCCTGGGACCGCATCAGGCCTGTCATTACTGCTTTTTCCAACTGAGGGCTTGACATTACCGCTTGCCCCAGTTTCTTTTGCCTTTTCCAACTGTGCTGATTCCTGAAGTGCCATTCCGTGTTGTTTTTGCCTACTCGAACTCAGAACCTGCCACAGCCGCCGTTGTTTCTAATTTTGCCTGATCAGGAAAACCGGGAAATGTAAAGATGGTGGAAGCAGAGATAGAAATAGATGAAGAGCAGTTCAGAATCAGAGAAGTAATTGAGCGGCCCAAAAAAAAAAAAAAAAAAAAGCATGCTAGCCTGCTAGGGCGGGCTGCTCTTACCACCCTCCCTAGCAGATCTGCACGGGCCTTATTCCAAAAAAAAAAAAAAACAAAAAAAAAACCAAAGTAATTATGCCTGATCTTACTGGTGGACAGCAGGTCGGAATAAGAGAATCAGAGATGTAAATATGGTGGACAGCAGTTGAGAATCTGAGAAGTAATTATGCCTGATCAGGCAGAGGGTGCCGGTTCAAGACCTGATGCCAGAGGGTGCCGGTTCAAGACCTGATGCCCGTAAAATCCCGTTGGAATCCAACTGTGAAATGCGCCTGTGGAACCTGCGGGCAGTTGAAGTCCCGCCGTGGTGACCAGGTATAGTAGCCTTGGTGTGCTATGTGAATGGAGTGTGCGTGTGTTGCTGAGTCCGCAAGGACACTACAGCCCTGGGGGTGGGCTGGATATCACTACCGGTATGGATCCAGTTTTTATAACACCTCCAAGGGTTGTAGTGGTTACGAGACTTTGTTCCTGTGGCAGAGGGTGCCGGTTCAAGACCTGATGCCCGTAAAATCCCGTTGGAATCCAACTGATCAGGAAAACAAGGAAATGTAAAGATAATGCAATGACCCCACTCAGATACAAAGCCCGTCAATGTCGGAAAACAGAATGTCTTAGTGCAGTTTCAATGTCTCTGAAATCGTACATGTAATCAAGTAGCCCAATGTCTCATGACCAGAGAAGAGGCAGATGGGAGGGAGAAGAGACTTAGAGGGTGGAAGAGAAAGTACCCATCAGCTCATCAGCTCAGCAGATAGATCTCCGTCACTAGCCCACTCCTCCTGGGGGCACTCCCTGCTTGCCACATCAGCAGACAGTCTCCTCTGACACGCTCTGACAATGAACAGATCTCATCATAGCGCACACGGTGCAGATTCCTTTGAAGAAGAACAGCAATGCGCAATGTCGACACGGATGCAGGCAGGTAAGCTTCCTCTTTACAATCAACCAATCTCACAGCCCTGATCCTCCTCCTCCTCGCCAACATCCCATCAATGTCGTAGACAGTGTGGCGAGAGCCACGTCAGCATAATCAAGAGTCCAGCTGGCGCCGTGGACAGAGAAGGCACCAGCGCCCACGCAGTAGCATTCTCGTGTCGCCGTACCAGAGTATGCCAGCGTCTACCCAGCGTCGAGCAGCAAGTGCAAGACTGAATGTCAGTCAGCAGGGCCTGGGTCAACATATAGTGTTGACTCCGGTTTACCAGCCTCTGGTCTGTCAGATACGATGGCCTAGATTGACTCGCGGCCAATGGCCTGGATCCCATACAGTTGCAGATTCCCACTTGGTCTTGATTATGGACAGATACCTGCAGACAGCCAAGTCACAGTGTGTGTGTCTGATCGGTGGCCTGGGCTGGGTCCATGTTGACTTTGACTCATGAGCCGGAGTTTCCGAGCTACTGTCGACCTTTGACTTTCCACGGTCAACTCTCGCACGTTGGGCCTTGGAAGCCCAGTTTAGGCCTTGCTTCGGGTACCCACAGTAGCAGGCCTTTGTTTAGGCAATTTTCATGACGTAGGCGTGGCCGTTGACCCCTTTTTCAACCCTTAAACCAAAATGACGACCCATGGCCCACGACGATTGCATGATTTGAGCAAGCAGAGATGGAAGCAGAGAAAGAGCACTTCACAATGACAACTCCATAGAGACAGAAAAGACTTTGGTTTAGGAGCAGAGGCTTATCAGACAGAAAGCAGTAGGTGAGAGGAGCAGGAAAAGATACATTCTCATGGAGAACAGGGTACACACATTGAGCTGGGAGGACAGGCATAGAGGCTGGCAAGTTGGAGAGAAATGGGAAGGCTAGCTTAGGCAGGGGTGAGGAGAGGCACATCCATCCTATCGCAAGTGATCAATGCCGACCGCTCCGATCTCTCAGCCATAATGGGGAGAAGCATATGTGTGAGTACATGATGTATTTTCCTTTACTTGCCGGTGGAATAGGAACCCCACTGCTGCTCCTCAGAAGGGTTATGGAGCCAGAACCACAAGGTTCTGTTTTATTATTAAAACAAAAACAAAACGAAAACAATGGTACACACATGTAACTGTTTGTAAGCAAAGTCCTGATTCAGTTGTATGAACACAATAAAGTTTGGGGCTTCCCTTTAACAACGAAAAGGGAAAAAAAGGAGCATTAGGAAAGTGGGAGTGAGTTGGCAGCTTCCCTATAACAAGAGAAAGGGGAAAAAAAAGAGCATTGGGAGACTGGGAGAGTAAATTTGGCAAACGATGTAGATGCAAGACTGGCCTACCTGTAACTAGCACTAGTGCACCACTACCTTTCAGGTTTTCACATGTATCGGCCGCGGGGTGGGTCCCCGCACGTTCCGGAGGCTGAAACGAAATGGCGGCTGCTGATGAAATTTATCTATGGCAGGCGCAGTTCGGCCTAACCCCCGAAGAATGTGGTGAAGGCACTGAAGGGTATATTCCCTTTTTTCCCAACAATGGGAAAGGTAATGGCAGTTTAACTCAAAAAAATAAAAGGCTTAGCATTGAAAGTTCACATTAACCTTATGCCTGTATGGCACAAGTCAGCATCGTTTTGGTAAGCATTCTGATTTTCAATCAGCAGGTTGCAGGTTCGATGCCTGGAGGAAGTTTGGCAATTTTTAGACCCATTGAATTTTGCGATTGGAGGCAATGATTATCAATGAGATTTGACGCAGCATGCGTTGAGCTCACGGGAGATTATACCCGTGTGGATCGACACTCGGCAGGCACAACCGCTTGAGCTTAATAGGGCTCAAGGAGGGCTACTTGGTTGAAGTTGTGTCTGGGTACACCGGTTCATGGTAGTATGAGTTGTACTAACCATGTTGGGGTGGACTGGAATTGTGAGCTTCAGCTTCATCCCAGCTCACTTTGCCTTGTGGTAAGCTACTAAGCGTTCCGATTTTTAATCAGCAGCAGGTTACAGGTTCGATGCCTGGAGGGAGTCATTGGCGATTTTCAGACCCATTGAATGTTACGCTTGGAGGCAATGATTATCAATGAGCGTTGCTTTTTTTTTTTAACTTTAACTGTGCGGTCGTTCCCTTGCACAGCCATTGCTCTTCAACAGTCAGTTTATTGCTACTCGTAGTTTTGACTGAGCCTCTGGCACTTCAGCTTAGTGGACTGAGAGGGACAATTCAGACTGTTCTTAGGCTTGTTTTCTTACGGGATTTAATAATTTTAATCAATAATGATAGTCGGTGGGGGGGTATGTTTGGAAGTATGGTTATGAATGACATTCAATCCTTCTTTTCGGCGGAAGTAATCCAAGTTATCAGGGTTCCCTGGTCTGCAATGTGCAGAGGTGTCAATCGGACTTATGTTCCCCAGAATTGATATGGAGTCGGGCCAATAAGGTCCCTTTTTTTTTTTTTTTTTTTTTTTCAAGATGACATTGTCTGTAACCCTGATGCCCACCCACATAATGTCCGATGGGTAATGTTGACTCTTAAGTTCATTCTGTCTAATATGCGATCTCTCAATTATTGCTTTTCGAATGCCATGCATCTCCAGGTGATGGCCCGATCTTCTCCTACGGACAAACTTGAATTGGTAAAGGCGCTGCGAGAAAACGGGGAGGTGGTTGCCGTGACGGGCGACGGAACAAATGATGCTCCGGCTCTGCATGAGGTTTGATAAACTTTACCAGATCCACTAACTGCTTGGAATTCCCGAGTGCCGGGGGATTGTAGCAGACGTAAGACAGCGCTGGGACCGTGGGACATACTGGTGGGACTGTGTCGACAGTACGAAACACGACGTCACGGTGGCATGCGAGAGGAATCCCAGCAGTCGGTCAAACAAAAGAGAATCTGATAGTTAGTCAAACGAAAGAGTCGCTGATATCCAATCAAACGAAAGAGAATCTGATATCAAGTCAAACTTCCAGTTCCTATCAAAGCATAGAGATCCGTGAAGCAGATGGTCTGTACAGCCGCTCTTTTTTTTCTTTTTTTTTCTTTTTTTTTGGGGGGGGGTGGGGTTTGGCGAGGGAGAGGAGGGGGGGGGTATGTACAGCCACTTTAATACTACTGGTTTCTGGATTCAGAAAACATAATATTTCTTTTCTGGAAGCATAACAAAGCGACCAAAAGTACACGTCACAAAGAATCGGATAGGCGGTCAAATCTGGTATCTGGTCAACCAAAAGAATCTCAGGGCCAGTCAAATCTGGTACCCAGCCAAAGGAAAAAATACGACGGCCAGTCAAACAAAGCAATGCAGCCTAGTAAATTTAAGGTAGCCTTAGACCCTAGGTAGCCTTACAGCTTAGCCTTAGACTCTAGGCTCAGACTACCTTCTTCACCCGAATAGAACGCCCGGTCATTATAGCTGTATTTGGGGCAACTTCCAGTCTAGATACGGCGATAATTACTGGGCGTTCTATTCGGGTGAAGACGGTAGTTCCCTTGGTGTGCAAATGGGCTCTTGTAAAAAGTAGTTGCTCCTCCTGAATACATGTAATCCATTATCTGCGTTGTAGGGCTTGTGGGCGGGGCATAGATATGGGTAGCTAGTACGAGGCGAGAGAGAAGAAAATAGGGTAGGGAAACAATACAACTGTCCCCCATACAAGGAGAAGAGAGCTATATTTCCTTAAACCACCAGTACTTCCTAAAGTCCTGCGCGTTAACAAGCCACAATTTTAGGGCGGCTACAGGAGCGCTACAGGAGCGCGCAAATTCATCCAACTAGAAACGTTTCTACTCTATTCTTCTCCACGGCCAATAGCTGGGCCAAGCACTGGTAGTAAAAAAAAAAAAGAAGAAGAATGTCATAGACGTCCTTCCCGGCATCTGTTATGATTGGAGTGACACAGATTAGCATGGCTCTTGTGGAAGGATGACATGCATAAATCCTACGTTGCCACCTGTACGCACCCTCGTACAAGTACAAATTTGTGCTCCTGTAATGGTACGTTAGGGGCCCTGTACGAGGTTTTTTTTTTTTTATATACATATCTGGTATTGTTCTCCCCCCCTCCCACACCAAAAATTGTAATAAGAATCTGCAGATGATGCTCAGCAGAATGTTGCTTGTATTGTGCTGTTGCATAACATATTAAATTTGTTTTTGGAATTTCTTGACGACTTTTTTTTTTTTTTTTTTTTTTGGTCATACAGGGGCGTACAAACGTACGAGATCACGTACAGGTTCCCATACAGGTCCCATACAGATATTACCTGTACGTTTGGTACGGAGAGGCCCCGTACATGTACGTTAGGTAACGGAACATAAATCAAGAAACTGAGCCATTAAAATACAAAAATACAACAATAAATCCAATAGCAAGTCAAAGGATTTCACCAGCCAGTCAAATGAGAGAATCTACATAGCCTTAGGAGCATAGTTGCGGCGCACTGGTACGGTGCGCAGTGCGGCGCGGGGTACTTTGCGCCATGCACAATAGAGTGGTGCACGTGCATGGCAAAAAAAAA